ATCTCTTTTTTTTGCTCTTTTGAAAACTGAGTATTTTGCAATAGTTTTAATACTGTGAGGTTGTGGAACGTGCAAAAAGACTCAAGTTTCCTCGACGCGTTGCGGCAGCGGTGACGTACCCAAACTTGCTGGTGAGATCAGTCTATTTGCGGGGAAACTGTCTTTGTACATAGGGCACGTGACATCCATTTGCCCACCATATTTAGCGAGAAACTGAATTGGTGTAAAGATCACGTGACGTCAAGACACGTGACATCAATTTCCCCGCCAACTTCAGCGAGGAAACTGAATTGGTGTTCAGGTCATGTGGTGTCAGGTCACGTGATATCGATTTCGCCGGCAAAATGAGCAGGCAAACTGAATTTGTGAATAGGTCACGTGATGTCACTTTCCGCGCCAAATTTAGCGGAGAAACAGACTTTGCGTATAAGTTACGTGACGTCAATTTTCCCCCTAAATTTAGCGGGGCAAATGAATCGATGTATTTCATAATCGTAACGTCACATTAACACATCAAGTTTCCGGCTAAATTGTGCGGAAAATGCACTAAGGGACGGACCGGCAGGTGAGCGAACGGACGGACAAGATTTTGGGATTGGGGTCGCGGTTAAATCAATTATTTCTTCAAAACTTTTCCCCTTAACTCAAACACTCCCACGAACAGGCGTCCATGTATGTTCAGACACCGATTCAATTTAGCGTGAGGTCTCGTGCGCCAGAGCGGACGGCCCGATTTCTGCACCGGTTGGCCGGCTGCGAAATACGACCCGCAGTTTTTGAACTGGCAGATCCACCTTCCGAGGATCATGCGGAGTTAATGGAAAACACTGCCGCCTCTATGTGTTTTGCTTGGACCTATGCGTTGCTCAAGACCAAACGGTTCACTGACTGAAACCAAGACCCGCATTCTCTTCGGTGCAAGGGCCCCGCGCACACTCTACAACCTCAAACTTTCAACTCCTTGTCCATCCGCTTAAACGAGTTATCCCGCTTGTGCAATGTTACGCCTTTTTAATCTTAATATTTTTTTTTTCATAAGCGAATTATGCTGTTGTTCAGAATGCTTCTGTGTGCTATTCGGGCATGAATGAGTGAAAACTTGACATTTAATGGCGTGACCCGTCTTTTGCCTAGCGGCATCAAGTGGAAGGGGAAGAGAGTTAGGCGCAGTCCTGGAGACCCGCCTTCTGCGTGGGCTCAGGTAGCTGAGCCCACGCGGCGTCCCGACTTTCCTGCAGCATCGCGCATTCTAAAAGAAAATGCCGAAAGTTGGCAGTTTGAGCCTCTCGCCCTTCTGGAATACACCGAATGCAGTGACCCCCTTCGGGTAGCTGCACTCGCTCGGGTCGTTGCGAAAAATTGACGAAGTCTGCCCGGCGGTTTTTGCTCTGCACCTGGCATCAGCACAGTGGCTGCTACGTCGAGCGTAAAACGAGCGTGCTATCTCGCGAAGTTCGTCAGTTATACCTGATGAACCTCGTCCGACGGCATATTGCCGCGCGCGCAGCTGGCCGCGTAGGCAGCGCGCGCGTGGCCTAACGGTTATCGCGCTTGCCTCCCACGCAGAAGGCCAGGGTTCGATTGCTGGCCGCGGCTACACATTTTTGTTGGCAGTGTAAATGGATATTCTGGTGAATTCGAGAACCATCTTGCTGATTAGAGGTTAGGATGTTCTACGCGCCGAACCTTCTACGCCGAACGATCCAGAAACCCACGAGGGTACATAAGGGATTCCGCAAGGCGAGCGGAGTCAGTTTCGCCCCAGCTTTCGACTGTGCTGCTACGCCGACTGACTTCGACGCCCGCGACGCTCTGTTATTATCTTTGTACCCTTTTATTTTTGGCACAAGTTCGCCACATTAAACGTTTATTTCTTCCTGTTTATTTCATAATTTTTTTTTTTTTTTTTTTGTCATTACTCGTGACAATATTGAACTTCATAGGACGAATTTTTCGACGAATGTGCAGCCTTAATGGTCCGTTTACACTCGCAAATTCGCGGACGGATCCGCGCCGGAGGCAAGCGGATTTTCGAGTCGGCAAGAAAAATTCGCTCGTCGCTGACGCAAAATCTGGTTTGATCTGGGACCCATGTCGAGACTTTCCGCCAGCGGCGAGTCCATTTCGCCAACCGGCTACAAAATATCTGCTCGTCGCCGGCGCGGATCTGCACCGCGATTCCCAAGTGTAAACTCACCATAAGAGTGCTCGTTTGCTTTTAAAGCATATTTAATACTTTAAATATTTTTCCCCAATTCAAATATATCCCCGAACAGGCGTCCGTGTTTGTTCAGACACCGATTCAAATTCAGCGTGAGGTCTTGTGCACCGAAGCGGACGGCCCGATTCCTGAGGGGGTTGGCCGACTGCAGAATACGACCCGCCGTTCATGAGCTGTCAGAACCACATTTCATGGATTATGCAGAGTGAATAAAAAAAAAATGCCGCCACTATGTCCTGTCTTGAACGGATAAGTTGCTCGAGGCTGAAGGGTTCATTGAATAAACCAAGACCCGCAGTCATCGTGCATGTCACGGCCGCGGGCACCATACTACCTCAAAATTCAAATTTGCTGTCCTAAACTCAGCTTCTTCTCAGAAATGACAGAATGCCTCTGAGCGAATGCACAACGAAATAAACAACAAACAACATCTGCTTTATACTTCTGCCAAGAGATGGCACCATACACACTCGGATCTGATGGAGCTGCTTCGGGGTGTATGCTCTGCCGTCTGTGAATAGCATCATCAACTAGGCGGTTTTTGCCGTTCTTTTATTTTTGTAGACAGAAAAAATAAAACATTTACCAATCAACTGCTATATATTTGAAACAATAAGTGTGATAGTACAATCCCGGAACCGCGGCATACCTCGCTGGATAAAAGCAAAACATACAAAAGATGAAAACGAAATAAATAAAAGATGAAAGGAAAATATGCAAAAGGTTGGAATTTCATAACTTCTTCTTTCATTCGTTTTTATAAAAAAAAAAGTTCACATGTTTTATTTAATAGCATGGCGTGACAGCGAAAATATATCCGGATTTTGAAAACAGGTGGAAAAATCGTATAGAGATAATGACTCTCTGGTGATACTGTCGCTAAGAGTATAAGAATGACAGGGGAGTCTTTCAGGTGTCCTGCTTCAGGTGCAGATATCCCAACTCCGATAACCCATTTGTGTGTTGTGAGCCTCGAGTGCCCACGCTCAGCTACAGCACGACGGAGGGCGACGAGTGCGGTTGGGCTTCGGCGAATTTTGGACTCTACTCTTCTTGCCTTGTGAGAGACTTTAGATATAGTCCATTCTACAAAAGAACGTCTGAAGGGTGGAAGTGTCAGTGTCCTTGCGTATGGCTCATGTTTCGGTCGCTTGCCGATGCGTCGAACAATCGCTCGGCTGGACTGCGATCTAGCAGGTATCGGCTAGGATTTCTCTAAACAATTGAAATGTTGTATGTACCGTTCCAATTTGCTTACATAATTACAGCCCACACTACGATCTTCAGAGTCCGCCAGGTGCACGCTCGCCGCTTCGGAAAGCGAACAAAGCACGCGGCCTGAAGCTCGAACGCTTAAAAGGGCCCTGGCCAGCGGCGTAGACTTTCCATTTTCCCGGGGGGGGGGGGGGGGGGGGTACCTTTTCGCCAGAACCGGAGATCGAGGCTAACGAAAGCACGCTGGGATTCCATTTCCCATGTATTTTGTCAATAAAGGCAACGTGGGCGTTATTTCGGTTACGTGCCACTACTAGAAGTTCGTTACATGGCACGTAAACAGCGTCTCGGTAAGGATCATAACCCGGGCCCGGGGGGGGGGGGGGGGGGGGGGGGGGGCACGAGTTCCGATACCCCCCCCCTTCCCCCCACCCCGAAGTCTACGCCTATGGCACTGGCCACAAGCACTTCTTTAGAGTGATCTATACGAAAGTGTCTTGTATGCTATAGAGTCTATAAAGACTATATAGACCAGCACGCGTCTGTGACAACACGTTGCAGCGGCGGCGCTGCAGACGGTACAGTGCAGGCACAATCGCCTCATCTTTGACAAAGCTTGATACTGCGGAAGTGCTAGCTGTGCCGTCAGTTTGAGCAAACACGCACGTATCTGTAAACAGAAAGTCGCTTGCACATACAATGTATATGTTTTCGTAGCGTGCGTTCTGCTTTCTACCAGTAACGTCCCTACAAGGATTATTAGTTGCAAACAAGTTCGATGGCGTGTAAAAAAAAAATGAAAGACGTTTACAATTCTCCGTAATGCGAAATTAGAGCGCAGCTCTAGAGGAGGAGTAAGAGAGGGTACTGAGGGGAGTAGGGGCATACCCTTCCCTCCGTACCCTCCCCTACTCCTCTGCCCCTCCTCCCTTCCCATTTAGCAGGAAATTTTTGCTAAATTTAAGGCAAAATTTAGTCAACATTTTCCCACCAAATTCAGCGGGTTACGTTTGCCCGATAAATTTAGCGGGGAAATTGACGTCACGTGACCCCAACACCTATTCAGTTTTCCCACTAAATTTAGCGGGGAAACGTTTCATAATGCAACGCCCGCGGTTACGCCAACGGCGACGCCGCTCAACCCGGAAAGGAGCGGCTAAACGCTCTAAAAAAGAAACAAAAAAACACGAGAGATTTCAGTTTTTGCATTTTTAAAATTGACAATGTGACATTACTCTTATTTCCGTTCATGAAAGCAGAATTGATCCTACTATAGTTACTGAATCTTACGTAACTTGGTGCGTGGCGAGTTCCGAACGTCTTTATGACTCCGCAGCCAATCGGATTGCGGCATTGTCCATAAGAACGTCGGTGCTAGTTACTAGAAGACCGGATTCAGCGAGCTTTCACTAATTATACAGACATCATAGTGACCGCAATTGTGGAAGGCCGACCATAGAGACGTTTTTCTTCTCGCACTTCACCGACATAGCAGCATCTCTTTCAACACTTCGTGAGTATATATCTGATACGAAAACGGCACGCCGCTTTAAAATACGTACCAGGGTGTCGGAAACTTTCCGGTGACGTCACCAGATGTCCATTGATGAGTCAGGAAGGCGGGTAGCTCTGCATCGACTTTCCCTGCACCCACACCAAAAAAAAATAGCTCCAACACAAAATCCCTTAACGTCACCTTCAACACAAAGACGCGAAATAGGACCACGTCGTTCAGACGAAGCCGTTGGTGTGATGATGAGCAACGAGCGTGTTCTCCTGATGCTGAAACACGGACGACGCCGTCGTTTTGCCGTTGGACCGGTTAGACGAGAGACGACGGATTTTCTTCCTGGACCGACACATCAACACGTCCTTCATGCTCCTCCGAAAGTTGTCCGAAAGGAAGGCGTACAAGATCGGATTGATGAAAGAGTTCATGTAAAGGATCAAAGTCGTCAGGATGGTCAGGCTCACGGCCGACTTGGAGGCCCCTTCGTAGCGGGACGACCAGTACTGGTAGAACTTGCGGGCGTGGAACGGCAGGTTGCACACAGCGAAGCCCAACACAACGGCCACGAGCAGGCGGACGACTTTCCGTCGTGCTCGAAGCACGGTGGCAGCCGCCTGCTGCTGGTAGTGCTGTTGTATCTGGTTGGCGACGCTGGGGCAGGGTGGCTTCTTGGGCGTGCAGCGAATGCGTTTGAATCCCCGGGGGCTTTGGAGTAGGCTTTCGCGGCTTTGTGCACCTTCGTGCGGGATCGGGACGAGTTCCAGGGTTGCTCGCCGTGGACTCGGCGAGTAGGCCGTGGGTACGCTACTCCGCCATAACTGGAGTCCGATGATGGAGTACATGACCGCCATGATGGCGAGCGGTATGAAGAAGCAGACGACGAAGTTGAGCACGTCGTAGAGCCGGGAGTCGTACATAAACCTGCAGGGAAATGGGACTGGTAAACATCCGCTTCTGAAGGCTATTACTTCGCGTGCTCGGACTACTGGGTTTTTAGTTGAGTGTGACGTGCAGCAGTAGTATTGTATCGCTCTGTTCTCTATTAAAAGCTGTCGTTTACATTCTCGCAATGGGACTTTTTAAAAATAAATTGTGAGTAGAGAAGAAAATTAAACTGAAATGTAAGTATCAACAGCTCGGGAACATTAAAACTGGTCCACAGACTTGCGTTTGACTACAACTGACTCAGCCATAACGGCTTTTAGCTTCTTCTGACTACTAAAGACCAGCTGGGCAGCAGCGCAGCCGGTCGTAATCAGTCACAAAAACAAAACAGAAACAGGTTATTAAGCCTCTCCGGTTATAGGCAGTTGCAAGTGTGTGAACCAGTCTTTAGAATAGCCGTCCACGTTTAGCAGGGCCTTAAAGAAGCTAACTCTCTTAGCGGAACGCGCAGTTATAAGGTTTTCACTGCAGGTTTTTCTGGTGACTTCTGCCTGACTCTGCTAGTTCCGTACTCTCGTGATTTCACTAAGAATTCAAGTCATATTTTCCCCCTTATTTAATATAATGTGGGATTTTATCCTTACACGTTTCTCAATAGTAGTGGCTGTTTTTACCCACGTGATATTCAAAAAATTTCTCTAGACGGTTGCAAGCAAATTCTGTTTTGTACCTACGCTTTACTCCACGTGGTCACATCCCGTCACATCAGGTGATCACGCTGCGTTTCGTGACGCCACGTGAAATCACGGTTTCAGGTGAAATTATGACTTGGAACCATAACGTAACATGACGATCGATGTTCTCTAAGTAAGTTAAAATGATCACTGCTTAAACACCGCTCCATGCATTATATAGCTTCAGAGATAAGGGTCTCTGCCGATTTTCTCAGTGTTTTTGCTTTGCACTGAGTTGACGCCTCCATGAGCCTCCTTGAGATGTTGGTTCAAGGATGCACCATGAGTCGACAGCAACCACTATTTTAATGCACATCATCATCATGAAATTTCAGCTTCTAAACAAAAAATGAATGTTTTGTTTGTCCATAAATTATTTAATTATCAAAAGGCCACAAACCGTCCTCGTTCAAGACAACAATTGCCAAGAGGCGTAAGAAACACTGAAACAGACTCCATCATAAAACCTGACAACTGTACTTCTCGTCCTTCGCCTGAATACAAACTATTAACTATTAACTATGAACTAGGAACTAAAAGCGATCGGTGAACGAGTGTGTTAGAGCACTGTTGCTCGGAGCACGTGAAGCTAAAGCTCGCTCTCAAGAATCCAGGAATCCTGGGTTCATTTCCCAGCCCTGCTCGGTAAGATCTGAGTAAGCATCGTACCGGCGTGTGACCTTCTATCACTACTGCATGATGAACGTTAAAAACCCCAAGCTAGCAGTGGTACAGTACTATCGAAATTTCTTATCTGCAGCAGTGACACCAGATTTTCGTTGTGGCTGACTAACTTCCCATTGTCGAAACGTACACGCAGCACATTTTACCATAGGAACTATTAACTATATGAAGTATGGGCTATGATCCATGAACAATGAAGGATAAACTTGTAACTATGTGAACTATGAAAGTGACCTGCGCATGATGCAGATGTGCACGGTTCTGCTGGGGTCCGAGTGCGAGGGCACCTCGGCGGTGCCGCACATGACCAGCCGGGGGCTGCAGAAACCGGCGCTGACCAGCCACACGGACAGCACCACGATGCGCAGTCGGCGGATGGTGATCACGTGCTTGCTCCACATGGGGTGCACGATGGCGATGTAGCGCTCCACGCATATCACTGTCAGGATGCCCACCGAGGCCGTGTAGCTCAGCGCCTGCGCACACGAGCCCCGGGGAGTGACAAAGCAGACATGAACACGTTACTGAACTAATGTGACTACATACGGAAGCTTGGTACTCGCTCAAAAATAGCCGAGTATGCTACTCCTTACTGCGACTCAGAAGGAACGCGTTACTTCAGCTTGAAAGTATACGCGTTATTTTGTCGTAAGTGTGAACGTGTCGTTATTCTGTTCTTCCCAAAAGCACCTTTAAGGTATTTCAGTAAATAAATAAATATCTGCCGTCGTTAATATTTTTTTGCTCTTTAACATATGTATCTGGGTATAACGGTGACAATACTTACGTACCTTGCGCACATTTTTATGGTTTATACCTAGTGTTTTGCGGTTGTGAAAATACAGGCGCGAGCTGGGGTAAGAACTAGGTGGGGTACTCGTATTGTGGACGTACCCCTCCAAAAGTAACGAACTACCGTTAGTCATTAATTCACCAAAAAGTAACAATGATACGTTACTCATTTGTTATCTTAATAAGTAACTAGGCTGTTACTTCGTTACTGGTAAAAGTAATAAAGTACAAATAACGCGTTACATGTAACGCGTAACGTGCATGCCTTTGGCATAGAAGCCAAGGCCGGGGCTACGTTACTAGAAGAGGAAAATACTGGTTTATAGTTTTTTCCGGTTCGGTGCTTGAATGTGATCCAATGCGTTGCAACCGCTAACGACTATTTACGACGAAAGCCACACTAGTGACACCCATCGGAAAGCCCTGGAACAGTTCAAATCTCCGTATATTTCCTTATACTGGTAAACATACTTTTTTTTTTCTTTTTCTGTGGCTCGAAATAATTATGATATTGTTACAAGTTATAAGTGATAATTTCTTAAAGAAAACGCGTAGATTTGATATCGTAAATAGTGAACAAACCTTCAGTCTCGTTTTACCAGGGAAGTCCGACAGATGGCGGTAGTGTACCAGCGTGTACTGTCGTTGTAATCGGTCCCGACGCCCTCTGTCGCACCCAAACGGAAATGTGTGAACCAGCAAAAGCAAGTCGTGCCTTGCTTGGTAACAAATTGTTGACCCGGACGTTTTCGTTTCTTGCTTTAATATGGACGTGCATTTTCTTAAAGCGGTAGCTTTATATGGCCTACCAACCTACGGAACTGTGTAAGTCGGAAACAAGTAGCCGACGCTACTGAGTAATGGAACCAATCCAGTAGAGTCAAACGCGCAAGTCAACTTCAGCAATTACAGAACACGTACAGAGACACCACAAACACCATGATGGAGCGCGTTTACGCTGTGTGATTGGTTCTATCAGCTCGTAGCGTCGACTGCGTCTGGACCCGGGTGTGTTCTGGACATACGGTCAGACGAATAAAAGTTCGGCCAGTCCGTAACCGTTAAACGATCTCGAAATAAACGGCCACCGGTGCCAGGGATCCAACACCGATCTTCGGCGTGGAAGCTGAGTGCGATGCTGACTGAGCTACGGACCCAGCATGCCGGGCGGGAGGGGCAGAAAGAGGTTATTTGAGTAAGCGCGTGGAGTGTAGGGGGGTGGAAAGGGCAAGAAAGCGAGGAGCAGAAGCAGGTGGTGTAGAAAAAGCGAACGGAACGAGGAGGGGTAGAAAGGGCAGGACAGCCCGGTTCCCCTCTCTTTGTTACCAAGAAGATTCAGCGCGAAGGCTTCGTATACGGGTTGTGCTGAAGGGAAGCGCACGCAGAGTCACGACGAGACAATGGTGTGACGTAATTTGTTTCCGCACAAAGCACTGTTCCAGGCACCACCCACGCCAGGAACTGAAAAACTAAAAGTCATCTTGATGTGGGCACCACGCGAACTAAGGGCGCCGCCCGCGCTAGAAAAGGTACCGCATTTAAACGTGTTTCGTAGAATGACCACACATGCAGTCAATTTTGTTTTTTTAGAAACGGGAAGTTTGTTGTGTTTCGTAATAGCTGCAGGTGTGAGAGCTTCAATAAAACGACTGCCAGAGTTTAGTTCCTTAGCACAAACTCGCGTGTGTAGGTGTTTGCAGCTTCACCATGGCAGTGCCGCCATACCTAGCATGCAAGCACGATCTCCCGCCAATTTTTGCGCCTTTGGGCTGATAACAAAAGCGCCACTCGACAAGGCCACCTGTAGTATCATCTATACATACTGCTGGAGGCAGCGCTGTTGTCTTTCGTTGCACGCAATACTAATAGCCCGTCCCTTTTTGTTCTTCACTGGGGTAGTTGTTGAATTGTAGAAGAGTGACCGCAAGCTTCAGCATCAAACTTGAGCTCTGGAGGCATTCAGTCAGCGTTGTTAATTCTCAATTGAGCTGAACATTTGCACCATCTGGTGTTCAAAATATAAAGCCGTAGGAATCGAAATCACCGCTCGAGTAAAATACGCTCTCTATAAGTCTGGGTGCTCGATGCAAATACGCAAATACGGATGTCGCTTTCGGGATCTCTGCTCTGTGTACAGCGAGTGCCCGAAAAAGGTTCTGATGTTTTCCCTCACTTCAAAAATAAAGAACGCATCGTCGAGCACTCAGTACCCTCCCAAATGTAGAGGTAGTATTCCGGACCAGATACCGAATTTCATTAGTAACCGCCATCTCATTCAAAAGGTCCGTACTTTATTTTAGACTTTCACTAAGAAATTGGTACCCATTTCTGGGAGCTGATGCCCATTCATCTCCACGTATTCGAGTGTTTTGTCGGTCGCCATCCTCCCATTGGAAAATGGAAATTCACGAAAATCGCTTATAACTTGAATCCGGTGAGCTTTGAAACTTTCTAAATTCCTTTGAAACAGCTAGCGCTACATTTGGACGGAGACTGAGCATTCGGCGTAGCGCACTTCATTTTTTCGGTAAGAAAGACGCTGCGAACGCACTTCAGGGACACCCTGTAAACACGCCCGCACCGGGGCTCACCTGGATGAAGAAATACATCCGGCAAAGGAAGTCTCCCAGGGGCCACTCGTCCATGAGGTAGATGGACAGGTTCTGGTAGACGCAGAACAGCCCCACGCAGAGGTCTGCCACGGCCAGGTTCGTCAGGAAGAAGTTGGTGATGGTGCGCATACGCCGGTGCACCACCACCACCACCACCACCAGGAGGTTGCCTGGAAGGAGACACGCGATGCGGTGTTGTCATCGGCATCAAAGGGGGAGAAAATTCGGCAGAGACACATAAGACTGGTTACGTGTGAAAATGCGAACGCGTGATGAACGTAGCATACCCCGTGTCACTAGTTGTGTGCAGTGCAGGCAAAGGCAACGCCAGGCGAAAAAAAAAGGTCAAGTACTAGGAACGCGGGATTGGAGAGGAGGGCAAGGAGGGCGAGGCGAGAAAGGATGAACTAGAAACGTTACAGAGGAAAGGAGGTGTACCCGGTAGTTCCCAACCCTCCTAGTGCTTTCTCTTTCTCCCCTCGGCTGGCGTTGCCTTCGCCTGAAGTGCACACAACTAGTGACACGGAGTATAGACCTTTCCAGCGGCAGTCTCGAACGAAGCGATTTACAGCGCGCGTCCCTGGTTTTGAGAGGGTACGTCAGTGCTGCCCGACTGCGCTGAGCTGTGGAGTTTCTCGTCAGTGCGCTGTCGCAGCCTGCGTAGGCGCACTTCCGGACGCTGGTGTAGGCTAAATTGCCACGTTCTATTTTTTCTTGTGTGTTCTATGGCAAATAGAATTTCTCGGGGTTTTTAAGAATGCATTGTACTATTTTTAGGAACAAAAACAAAGAAATGAAAGCTGTTTCGATGAGTCCGTATGCGACAGAACAAGTGCTACTGGAATGTTTGTTTCTTTTTATGTTGATCTGTTTACGGCACCATACACTCATCCGTGTCAACAAAGGTCTTAACCGTCGAAAATATTTGACCACACATGAAATCCGAACTGCATGGGTATTCCCCGCCCACAACATGAAATTAAACGAGTCTCATCAATAGAACAACATATATTGTACGTACCCCACGGTGCCGCGTTAAGGGCCGCCCACACTGGCGAGAAAACGCGCGTGGCACGCCGATCGCGGCAAGTAACAAAATGTCGCCGAAGCACAGTCAGCGCCACGAGCGCGTGCAGAGACACGCCCTTTATCTTGCCGCTTAACCGATTTATCGGCGCGCCGAGCGCGTTTTCTCGCTAGTGTGGGTGGCCCTTCATCCGAACAGGATTTGAGAAAGGTCTGAAATAACACAGCATATCCAATATACAGTGTCGACGATAGCCACTTCACAGCGATCAGACGGAATCCGGCATGTTTTGGCACATGTAGAAGAGAGCTGCTTTTTTGCACAGATTCAAAGCAAATGAACGAGCGTGTCTATTCTGTCCCCACACCCCGGACCTAACCATATTGGCTATTTTTCACGAACACAAGCCGGGAAGGCTTTTTGAAGATTATCTCAACGAAAATAATCCTCCAAGAACGCCGAACTGCCCGCGTCGCGGGCTGCTTGACGTTCGCTCTTTTCGTCCGTTTCCTGCGAAGGCCGAGCAGGCTACGAGCCCTGATATTCTCTGGTTCTCGCAGTGGAAGAAAATACAAAAAAGTAAGCGTTCTAAACAGGCAAATAAAGTAAAAACTTCCAAGAAAAGCCGGCGGACTCCGAATGCACAATGCACCAGGGGAGTCACACTGACCGGGTTTCCACAGCTCGGGCAGGTGGGAAAAATTTCTGGCCGATAGGGGTCGCTCGGTTCGCAAAATGGCGGCGGCCAGAGAGCTCTTTTTGCAAATGTCTATAGGCACAGCTCTAGTCAGCCGGAACTGTGGAGCAGTCGTGGCGTCGAAGAACCATGATCGTCTCGCACCCCGAGGGCCGGGTTCGATTCTTACCCAGACCGAAATATACACAATTTTATTTTCAAAGCCATTAATTTACCTTGTTTACGGGAACCTCCCGAGAAATTTTTGGCAGCCAATAGTAATTTAGGTGCCGTTTCGCTGTTACAGACGACGCCCAGACAATGGGAATTTCGTTGCCGGTTTCACCGGCGTCACTCAATGAGACAGTTAATGCTTCCGCATTAAAAAGGAACCTGAACAGCATATGGCCACGCCTTAAACGACGACCAGCAAAATATAAGCTGTTCTCCCCTCCCCCAACTGATGATGACCGTCTGGCCACTTGCTATGACATACACGTTAGTATTTCCTCTTTCTCTCTCCGACCAAAAACCAGAAAAGAGCATAATCTATCTCAAAGGACCTTTTTCCAGTATGCTTCAGCGCATGCGTACACTCCCGCTGTCGCCATTTTCGCAGGGCACCCGCCGTCCCTCACGGCCAACACTCTCAGCACCTAGCTTCGCGCGTATTTCGTCTATTTTGACACTTCGTATTTTTATTGTCGGTATTATGGGTAGTATGAGGTATAAAAAACACTGAAAACCGATACAATGGCACGATGCCAATGTCTTCTGAGGGGCGAAGGCATGTTCGGCTGCCCTTCATTTGTAGTTCGCAGACAGCTCCCCAGACGGCGCTCGTTAATCGAAGAAGGCATCATCATCATCATCATCATCAGGCCCGTCCCTCCCTTCCATTTAGGAAAGACGGAGACCCACCTCCCTATTTTGTGAGCTCAGAGACCTGTTCCTGAGAGGAGTGGAGGAGAGAGAAGTCCGAGAGAGAATGGAGAGAAGGAAACTGGGAACTGGTTTTCTGCCCGGCAGAAGACGATTCCGTCGGTAGGCCTTTAAGACGGACACACTCCGTTTCGCATCAAGTCTGACCTTAACCAACACTACGAAAAGAAGAAGCCGATCAAGCTGTGCCAAAAGTGCATAATCATGGTACTCGTTTTCTATCTCCGGATAAACCAATCACACGCTTGGAAAAACGGAGGATTGTGGCGCATTCACTGTGCGCGTGCTTGGTTCAGTAGGTGGTAGGAAGCATGGAGTTATCAGAATAAACGCTAGAGGCTCAGCTGGTGCTATAGTGTCTACAGGACTTCCGGTTGCAAACTTTAAACAGACAACAACCAGTTTACTTTTCCAGTCTTCCTGCGTATTCCTATGGGAAAACGTACGTGATATTTTTCTCTTCGACAGGAAATAACATAAATCAGCATAGTCTATTTACTCGTAACGGGTACTATGTAGCTTTATTCACATTATAAAAGAGTCATTTATTTAGTTAATGTTTTTTTTAATTATTAGTGAGCGATGTTTAAGTCAGAAAAAGTTGAGGCCCAGGTCCCTGCTGTACATAATGATATGTCGATACAAGCTAACGATTCAAGCAAAAAAGAACAATTAAAAATGCGTAGTGTTTGTTCAAGCTGTAATTACTGCTTGGTCACTACTTTTTTTATTTATATTATTCATGCGCAGTTTGTTACTAATCGAGTACGCGTTTTTCGTTCTATAACTCTATGCTTCCTTCATGTCGTCCATTTTGATTGTTTGATTCGCACATATTAGCATCCTTTTAGGGTTTTGTCAAGCTGATTCACTCTGTGTGCTTTATAGCATTGACTATATGCGTAAATACATGCCCTACAATAGCAGTCTGCAACCTCAACACGCATTATACATGTGTAGTGGGCTATTTCAGCGCAGTGTTCAACGCCATGAGTTCCACAGAAAAACGCTCTGAGACATAGTTTTGTACATTCAATTGTAAAACGTTCCAAACATTTTTCTTCTGTCACAACTCTACGTAATATTTGCTCTTATAATCGAGCGCGAAGAGAAAACGCATTTCCGTTTGCCCATAGGAAGGCATTACCGCAAGTCAAATTTAGACTGGTTGCTGTCTGCTTCAAAATGCAACAGCACACTAGCGCCACCTGAAGCTCAAGCTTTTATTGTAATAACTCTATGATAGGAGACGCAAAAAAACAATAAGCGCCATAACGATGCACTTTTGTTGCTTCTTGACTGGCTTGAGCGGTTCATCGAGTCGGCTGCGTTCGGACCTAAAGTAAAACGGAGTATAAAATTTTCTTTTCTTTTTTTTATCCTGACTTGTTTTGCAGCCGTACATTTTTGTACTGTGCTCACAAAACTTAAAACGAAACACGCGGGATGTGTCTTTTCTCGTGGGAGCGCTACCCTGGTGGCAGCCGAGTACCCTCGTAACCCTCCGGCGTCGGCGTAACCGAACCCTCGTAACCCTCGTAACCCTCACGAGGGTTACGAGGGTTGCGGTTACGCCGACGCCGACGCCGACGCCGACGCCGTCGCCGCTCAAGCCGGGAACGGGCCCCTAAGAGCTGCGCTCTAAAATATTGTTGCAAACTTGGTGAGTTTAATCAAATCCCGCGACAAGACAGGAGCATAGTCGCCACTGCCGGATTTGCGTGAATAGGGGACAACCGAAAGTCGCAGTGCCTCTGCTCGTACTTCGTGAAAGAGGCAGGGCATTCGCTGCAGGCGTGATAACAGGATTACTTGCGGACAAATCATGCTCGAACCATGTTTCCTTTACACATTTGTATGATTTGATGACGTCAGCAGGCAGTCTCTGCATGACCCACGTGACAGGACTGTCACACAAGGAAGAAACACGCCTGACACAGTATCTGCACACCGTTTTTTTTGTACGATTGATGTATTAGTAAGATAACCGCGGCTTTAGGGCCTTCGACTCATTAGGCCAAAAAACGTCGTGCGCGTCACAGGAATCTGAGACATATCCCATTTGGCTCACCGAAGAAGCAGCAGCAGAAGACGAGCGAGTAGGTGAAGATGAGACCGACCCGGACATCAGACCTCTGGAAGACGTCCTCGTCTTCCTCGGCACCTCCAGGAATCCAGAGTCCGGAGCCATTACCGAAGTTGTCCAAGAGGTCGGCGCTCGACTCGTTGGCCGAGAGTGCATCCATCACACGCAATTCAGGACGGGTATCCTAGGCGGACCTGGACATGAGGGAACAAAGAAACGAATGAACGAACGGACGAACGAACGAATATATAAATGAATGAAGGAATTCATTTTTTTGAGAGGTAGCGGTTTCAGTTGATGTGGTCGACAAGCTTTCTGTTGAAAATTATCACACTGTTATAAATCCTTCTTTTCTGTGTTTTTGATAAAGTAATAAGGGCTGGGTAATAAGCGCTTCAAATGTAAAGTGCCTCGTATGTCTCGCTCTCCGTTGTTCTCTCGGTTGATGCGTAATAGCTTTGACAGGTGCTTACGCTGGAAGTGCGTTCGTGGAGTCCCGAGTTTTGCGAAACAAGAATCCTTTGCTTATGGCAAATCCGGCACTTCAGATTAAAGGTACCCTGAAGATGTTTATCAAAATGTGCATGCACACGTGTGCCCATAGCTTTCAACTGCATAGACACAGAGCCATAAAAAGTTGTCCGCGGGTCTACAAACAAAGTATGCTAATTGGTGTTCTAGTAGTTTATTAAAATGTAGCTAAAATACTAACGGAGCCTATGCGGGTGGATGGTTATTCGACGGCGGTCAGGAATGGTGTGACCGAGCGCTCTGTTCTTGACCGTGTGCGCTCATTCTCCGCGCCATTTGAGTCATACAAAACGTAAATACACTCATTTGGAACATACAGTAGCACAGCAAAAAACAAAACAAAAGACGAAGAAAACATTGGGGGCAAACTACGAAGGTATCAATCTTAGCACTAATGAAATCCCTATTAAAAAAAAAAGAAACATGCACACAACTGCTGTTTTATAATACCAAATAAAACAGCGATATATTAAATGAATCTTCCTCAACGGAGAATGTTCTTGTAAAAAATTCATGTTTGACCATCGTCCTCTAGAGGCCTTTTCAGATGGCACATAAATAGTATTCTTTCCTTGCACTTGTTTTTAGCAATCTTACCATTAGCGATATTTTATTTAAATAGAGCTGGCGCGCAGCACCGACGATAGTCTGCGCGTTTTATGTCAATAGTATGTCTATAAGGTAAAGAAGATTGTCTTGAAGTGGGTGAAATTGGGAATTCCGCGAATAAAACTACCTAATTTTCAGATTTCTTGTTTGTTTACGTCCTCCGTATGGTATGGTATATGGGTCGTATGGGTGCATATAGATTTTTCTTTTTGTAGTAGGAAGGGATGTTTAGATCGTAGATTTGTTTTGTAAAATTATGAAAAAAAAAAAAGCACTCGTCACAATCAGAAGATACAAATTATAAGAACAACTGTTTCTTACCATGTACTCGAACTTTTCTCGCTAAATTTAGAGGGAAATTTTCTCCAGCTAAATTTTGTGGAGCACCACTACCCTTCACAAAACACTGGGAAATCATCTGCGAAGCCTCGGAAAAAACAATCGCCGCCTTGGAAAAAAAAAAGAAAGAAAAAAAGAAAGACGTTTACCAATATCTGCAATGTGAAATTAGAGAGCAGCTTTTGAGGAGAAGGGGAGAGGGGCATGCCTGCCTCCTCCTCCGTACCCTCTCCCCCTCTCCTCCTCCTTCTTTATCTCCTCCTGTCCCCTCATCGTCCAATTTAGTTTCCCCGCTAAATTTAGAGGGGAAAAAGACATCACCTAACCTCAACACCAATTCCCGTTAAATTCAGCGGAGAAACTGAATTTCCCCGCTAACTTTAGCGGGTAATCGAACTGATTGTTGAAGACGCGCGGTGGAGAATGGAATTGATGTTGAGGTCACGTGACGTCGATTTGCCCACTAAATATAGCGCGGTTACGCCGACGCCGCGAAACACGGAAACGGGTGCTTAAGAGCTGCGCTCTAAAAAGAAATAAAAAAGTTTAAAATTTTTTTATATATCTCTATATGCTCGACATTTCAATGTCGGAAAACGCGGAGCGAAAGCTTCGGTCTGCAGACTCCAGGGATCCTGGGCTCAGTCCCCACCTCCGCCCGTTCGGAACACGACGAGCATTGCACCGGCGTCCGGTCGTGTACGTATCACTAGCGCGTTAAAGACCCCACGCTAGCAGTGGGGTGCACTGAATAAAGTTCCGAATCACACCGGACACACTATACGCCCATTGCGACTGACTAACTTCCCCAATTCCAAACAACATTCACACACACAAACAAAAGTTATTATTTAGACATTTATTCTCAAGTGATAATTTCCGCAAATATGGAGCTTTCATGTAGGTTTTCTTTTCTCGTCCATTTTTCAGGTAGCGCATAATATACCTACGTTCTAGGAATGTATATCAAAGTAAAAATCATTGGCACAGACGATAACTATTCCAAACAGTCGCTAAAACATCCTCCGCAAAAGCTGTTTGAATCGGGCATCAACGCGCCAAACCACCTCTTAGATGAGAAAGCCTTAGTGCTGAATTTTTCTTCGTCACTAAAGAAGACCACCGTATAAGCCTTTGCAAAAATAGCTCTATGGCCGCCACAATTTTGCGAATCGAGCGACCCCTACCAGCCAGGAATTTCTGCCACCCGCCTGAGCTTTGTAAACCCGGTCAGCTTTCGGAGTCCGCCGCATTCGGAGTCCGCCGGCTTTTCACGGAAGTTTTTACTTTATTTGCCGGTTTAGGATGCTGACCCTTTGTGTGTTATCTTCCACTGTGAGAACGAGGGAATACCAGAGCTCGTAACCTGCTCGGCCTTCTCAGGCCGAGCAGGCTACGCCGGATTCCGTCCGATCGTCGTGAAGTGACTATCGTGGACACTGTAAATTAGATACGCTCTGTTATTTGAGTCCTCTCTCAAATCCTGTTCGGATAACGCGGCACCGTTGGCTACGTAAAATATATGTCGTTCGATTGATGAGACTCGTTGAATTTCATTTTGTGGGCGGGGAATATCCCTGCAGTTCGCATATCCTCCGTGGTCAAATATTTTCGAAAGTTAAGGCCTCTGCAGATCGACACGGCTGTGTGTATGGTGCCGTAAAAAGATCAACTTAAAATGAAGCACACATTCCAGTTGCACTTGTTCTGTCTCGCACGGAGTCACCAAAAAATAGCTTTCATATCTTTGTTTTTGTACCTAAAAATGCATTCTTAAAAACACCGGAAAATTCTATTCGCCATATAACACAAAATAAAAAAAAATAGAACGCGGCAATCTAGCCTCAACCAGAGTCTGGAAGTGCCCCTACGCAGGCTGTCACAGCTCACTGACTAGAAAACCCACAACTCAGCGCAGTCGGGCAACACTGACGTACCCTCTCAAAACCAGGAACGAACGCTGTAAATCGATTCGTTCGGGACTGCCGCTGGAAAGTTTATAGACCAGCGATTGAAGACGACTACGGCGTCAGCGTACGGCTAGGAGTCGCGTTCTTGCTGACTGGACAGGAGTTCAAGCCCAAAGCCGACGCCGAAGCCATGTGCAATCTCTGGCCCACGGTGGCCTTCTTTAGTGACGCAGGGAAATTCAACCCCTAGGCTTTCTTAATTCTGCGAGGTGTTGGCCAAACACCCTACAAAAGTGGCGTTCGCCTCACTTCACCATAACACTCTTTCATACACCTTCTTTACACCTTTCGAAAATGAAGGATATTTCATGCAACCGCACCTTATTCTACCATTAGAAAGGCTACATACCTCGAAATAAGGGTTTTAAAATAAATGTACGTCTCTACGTTGTACGTTTCCACTCCCTTAAGGGTGCAAACATCTTTTATACCGTTGCGATCATGGAGGATACGCCCGACCTACGTCATCGCCCGGCCTTAAGGTAGGTTCACACTCTTGCATGAGTTCGAGCGAGTTCGAGTGCAACGGCTTACAACGTACGGGTTCCTATGGCAACAGCCGTTTCGGCTCTAACAAAACGAGATAAAAACCGGTTTTGCTGGAGTCGACTCAGCTGTTGCCGTAGCAACCTGTACGTCGCAAGCCGTTGCAGTAGCCCTCGGTCCAACTCACGCCAGTGTGTGAACCAACGTTCACGTTTGATCAGCATCCATCTTCAGGCACGTCGTCCCCATTTTTCGCAGATACGAAGATACCCATCGAAATTTCATTTTCGTCAAAAAAATCCAATTTTGAAAAAGAAAACGAAATTGAGGTTGCTACACGATAGACTGCTTTTTCGTGGTGGCAGGTATGCTGAATTCTGGCGTAGCTGGACTGGGGCAAAATAGAACATCTCTTCATTTGCCGATTTGAACGCGCTAGAATTCGAGTTGTTCGTGGCAAATTTAAACTTTTCCCTTGTGCATATATATTTTTATTATAGTTCTGCTTAAACTATTTACTGTATTGTGTGTCGCCCAATCCAACTAAGTCCAACTTCAACATGGTAACTGTCACACGAAAACGATCTACAGACGCCAATCTTTCCGCTTCGTTTTACTGCTGGTTTTATGCATACGGTCCAGCTGCTCTCATTTCGATCAGTAAATACAGGGTTTTATTTTTTATTGTTCTAAAGCTTGACAGATTTGTTTAACAAAAGCCGTGAAAGTTAAACTTATGTGGTTTGTGCAGATGAGCTATACGGCCAGGGGAACATAACTACATTAATATGGCAATTTGGGCCAGTTGGTACATGATCGCATGACAGCCCCCGAAAAACACAAGGACAAGAAGAGACGTACACACTGGCGCTAGTGTTTACGACTCTTCTTGTTCTTGTGTTTTTCTACGGCTGTCTACGGACATAACTAGTCGTAAGGATCAGTCGGCTAATTAAGTAAAATTTGTTAATAAATATTTACCTACTGAAAATACATATATGTTTAAAATTAAAAAAATTCTGAGCGTACTCAAAAACCACAAAATAAGTAATATTGGGAAATACTTTGAGCGCGTGGGAATAGTTGTAGTGAGCTAAAAGGTATCACTCGTGCCGCAGGTAGAAAACTGGGTCGCTAAACTCGTCAAGCACAACTTTGTGTCCGAAAGTTGCGGAACACGCTAATTGGACTCTCGCGACGCTGACGTCGCGCCGAGCGAGGTGTCAATCATTCGAAGCAAAGTTCATCGAGGCGCGCGT